ACGGTTCATTAGAGCCCAATACGATTCCACCAAAGCCCAATACGGTTCATGAAAGCCAATACCGTTCATCAAAGCCCAATATGGTTCATTAAAGCCTAATACGGTTCATTAAAGCCCAATACGGTTCATTAAAGCCCAACGGTTCGCCGGAAAGCCCAATACTTCCATTAAAGCCCAATACGGTTCATCAAAGCCCAATACGGTTCATTAAAACCCAATACGGTTCATTAAAGCCCAACGGTTCGCCGGAAAATTATTAATTTATTTTTTTAAATTATTTAATTATCCGCCGGAAATCCGCCGGAAATGGTTTATTTCTTTTTAAATAATTTTTTTAATTTTCCGCCGGAAATCCGCCGGTAATATTAAAGTTTTTTAAAAAAATTATTTATTTTTCCGCCGAAAATCCGCCGGAAAAATGTTTACTCTTTTTTAATAAAAAAAATAAAAATCCGCCGGAAATGTTTAATTTTTTAAAAAAATTATTTATTTTTCCGCCGGAAATCCGCCGGAAAAATGTTTACTCTTTTTTAATAAAAAAAATAAAAAATCCGCCGGAAATCCTCCGGAAATGTTAAATTATTTTAAAAAATTATTTATTTTTCCGCCGGAAAAATATTTACTCCTTTTTTAATAAAAAAATAAAAAATCCGCTGGAAATATATATATATTTTTTAAATATTTATTTTTCCGCCGGAAAAGATTAAAAGAGTTTTTTTTATTTTTTAAAAATTATTTTTCTAAACACTTTTCCGGCGGATTTATTTTTAAAGTATTTTTTAAATTTTTTTTAAATATTCCGCCGGAAATCCGTCGGAAATCCGCCGGAATTGTTCTTTTTAAAATTTTTTCGCTAATTAATTAATTTTTAAAGATTAATTAACGCTTAATTAACAATTCCGCCGGAAATCCGCCAGAAATGTAACCGGTTTAATTTTCCCGGCGGATTTCCGGCGGAAGTCAACAAAAGTTGACTTTTTTGACTTCCATCGGAAATCCGCCGGAAAATTTCCGGTGGAAATTTCCACCGGAAATTTTCGCCCGAAATGCCAAGTTTTCTAGTAGTGTTTAAAACTTATCATGTTTGGAGATACAACATCACCAATCATATTTGCAAACTAGTGATTATCTATGCCAATCTTTTCCATAGATATGGGTTCCCCAGATGTTTGGCTTCCTTTTCAACACCTTTTGAACTACATATTTAGTTAAAATGTAAGCAATACACGTATTTAGTCCATGTATTGATCCATTACACCTATTGATATGTAATTTATCACATTATGCATACTTGTTTCCTTGATCACCAAAGTCGAAGAACCTTACTTTATTTCTTCCTTTCTTTACTATAGACGTGTCATCCAAAGATTTATCATCCTTGCCTCTACTTTGTTTTTGATATGGCTTGTTACATGTTTAACATTGTTACCATATTATTCCCAAAATGTTACAAATGTATAGTTTTCTGGTTGGCATTATGTGCATAAATCAATAATTGATTGGTAATCAAAAGTGTATGGTCTATACCTTTTCTCTTTTTCATTGAAGAGGCTCGTCTTATCTTCCTTCTTAGCTTACCTTTGTTGTCATTAACTGGAACAACTGTATTGTTCAAATAAGCAAATACCATGTCTTTAGAAAAAAATACACCATTTCGAATATGTTTATCTGGAGTTAGTTATACGAATTAAAAAAATGAAGCTTCAATAAGATGTATTTACGAACAATTTACTTGTAATCTTGAATTTTAAGTAATATGCATCAATAAACAGTACTTCATGCATAAAAAATGATTTTAAGCGTTTTTATCAAATACTTTATAATATAATGTGTGTGTGTGTGTGTGTATATATATATATATAGAGAGAGAGAGAGAGAGAGAGAGAGAGAGAGAGCTAGGATCATTTGTTAACTCAAAATGAGTGTTAACTATACTAGTTCTATAAACCAATAAAAAAGTCTTTAAACTTAATGTTCATATCTCTCTATGCAGTTAATGTTGAGGGCATGTTGGTAATTTTCTTTTTTGGTCTTGATTGAAACATATTTAATTGCCTGTTACAAAGAGGTTCATGTTCCATGATTTTAGTCATTTTTCTTTTTTGCTCTTGATTGAAACATATTTAATTGACAATTACAACTAAGCAATTTCATAAAAAAAACGTTTTCATAACATTAAAATGAAATAATGCATGTGTTCATGAGCAAGCCATAATATGTTTATAGTTGTAAAATGTGCATAACTATGTTAGCAGATCACATTGTATATTAGGCTTAATTTATTAGCCCGTATAGTGTTTGGCCCATGGCCCATCTGTTGTATATTTAAATGATTGTATTTTGTTTAATCATTCAAGGAAATCATTCTCTCTAATATGGTATCAGAGCAAAATTAGGAGCCCTTCCTAATTCCTCTCAACCTCCTCCCTTCTTTCTCTCTTTCGGTGATCTAGGGCCGGCCACGCCTCCCATCGCCGCCTCCTCCTCCTCAATCGTTCTTGCCTTCCTTCAAACATGTCCGTCAATCAAATTCCCCCAAACAAGGTTTTCGGTATAATGAATATCAAAACCTACGTTCCTCTCATTCTTGAACTCGAACGTCTCAATTATGATGCGTGGAGAGAACTTTTCTCCACCCATTGTTTTGCCTTTGACGTCATCGATCACATCGACGACTCTACTCCTAAACCCACAGACGCAGAATGGAAAAAGGTGGATTCAATTGTAAAACTTTGGATTTACGGATCGATTCACAATCCTTTCTCCAAATGGTGTTGAAGAAAGACTCGACTGCACTTCAAGTATGGAACAATCTCGAGACTCTCTTCCGTGACAACAAAGACGCCAAATCCACACAAATCGATAGCGAGCTACGCAACATTGTGATGGGCGATCTCTCCGTCATCGCCTACTGCACCAAAATCAATGGACTTGCTGACCTTCTTGCGAATCTCGATCCAAACTCCACAGTACCCGACAAACACCTTATGATCTACACAATCAACGGACTGTCCTCGAAGTTCGATTTGGTGGCCAATATCATAAGGTACCGTTCTCCTCTTCCAACTTTTCTTGAAGCTCGTTCCATGCTTCTTTTGGAAGAACAAAGAATGGCTCAAATACGCTCAACACCCGTTATGTCTCACCACGACCATTCCTCATCGTCCACCATCCTCCACGTGAACAATAACAGAGGAACTCACGGGAATGGCCGTCGGAACGACCGCCGCCAGCCGCAAGGTTGTTGCCGACAACCACCGAATCAGCCACGCTATGGTTGGGTGTACATCCTGCCACTGCCGCCGAGTCAGTCGAACTAGCCTCGCCAACAACCACCACACCTACTGGCAGCAGCCAACTGCAGGGCTGCTCGGTCCACCGCCCGCTGCCCCGTCGCCACAACCGGCCCGCTCAACCGTGGCAAGCGCCACCGCCATACAGCCCGGCGGTCCATTTTTCTGCCGCTACGGACAGCAGCCAATCGTCTGCCACCGCCACTCCCCCATGGACTTGGGCCCCACCAGATCAAGCTACGTCTCTCCCGGAGTTGTTCAACTCGATGTCTCTAAACGATCCGGGCTTCACAGATTGGTACATGGACACCGGGTCAACCGACCACGTCCACGCAAACTCAGGTATTCTAAAATCTATTCTTGAAACTCATGATACTCGTTCTATCCTTGTCGGTAATGGATCCAAAATGCATGTAATGCACACCGGACATGCCCCTTTTCCCATCACAAATCCATACCATGCTTTGCATCTTAGACATATCCTCATATCTTCCACTATTATAAAAAATCTCATATTTGTCCTTCAATTTACTTGTCAAAATAAAACTTCTATTGAGTTTGACAATTTTGGTTTTACTGTTAAGAACTACAAGACCCGGCACCCTCTAATCCGATGTGATAGCGACGGTCCCCTCTACCCGGTCAACCCCTCTAACCCTCAAATGCTTCTCTCGAAAGCTCATTCCACATGGCATCAACGGCTCGGTCACCCCAACGATCAAGTCTTGAAGTCACTAGTTTCAAATAATTTTATTTCTTGTCATAGTGATGAAACTAGTATTCTTTGCAATTCTTGTCAACTTGTAAAACATGTTAAGCTTCCATTTTTCGTTTCTAATTCCGTTGTTTCTCATGCTTTTGAAATAATTCACTCTGATGTTTGGACGTTACCCATCTCTAGCATTAATGGATTGCGTTACTATGTTATTTTCTTAGATCACTTTACTCATTACTTGTAGGTTTATCCTCTCAAACATAAGTTTGACGTTTTCAATAAATTTAATGAATTTTTCCATCTTGTTAAAACCCAATTTAACGCAACCATTAAAATTTTCCAATGCGACAACGGTGGTGAATATAATAATCAATTATTTCACAACTTTTTTGCCTCCCAAGGTATCCAATTCCGTTTTTCATGTCCTCACACGTCCCAACAAAACGGAAAATCGAAACGTATGCTTCGAACCATCAACAATGTGGTTCGCACCCTTCTTTTCCACGCTCATCTCCCTCCCACCTATTGGGTCGAAGCCCTCCATATGGCTACCCATCTCCTAAACATCCTTCCCTCCATAACCATCAACTTTGGAACACCTCACTACCGGTTGTTTCGAAAACATCCTTCCTACTCTCATCTCCGCATATTTGGCTGTCTTTGCTACCCTCACCTCACCTTCTCTCACAAATTAGCCCCTAAGATCTCTCCTTGTGTCTTCCTTGGCTACCCATCTCATCATAGGGGATTTCGGTGCCTCGACCTCTCCACCAAACGCATCATCATTTCTCGTTATGTCGTCTTTAATGAGACAATTCTTCCGTTTGGCTCGGTCACTCCGACAAACCCCTCTTCTTACTCTTTTCTTGACGACCCATCTGAGCCCTCTCCCATTATGCATGACATTCTCGATCCGCATCACGCCCCACCTATGCCACCTACAACCGCCCCTCACTCCCCACCTCACGCCTCGGCCGACATCGATGCCGCCACTCACCCCCTCCCTTTCCTCCGTCGAGTGCGATTCCATCCACTACTCGCTTGTCTCACCCTACGACGACCTGAGCTAAAAGTGGTGTCGTTAAACCCACTCAACGACCCAATCTTCATACCACCTCCATCACCCCGTTACCCCGGTCCATTTACAGGCATTACAGGATCCTCACTTGCGAAAGGCCATGGACAAGGAATATCATGCTCTTCTTGGGAACATGACTTGGAAACTTGTCCCTCGACCCCCCGGGTTCAACGTGGTTTGGTCCATGTGGCTCTTTCGCCACAAGTTTAATGCAGATGGCTCGTTTTCTCGCTACAAGGCCCATTTGGTGGCCAATGATCGCAGTCAGCAGCAGGGGATATACTATGATGAAACTTTTAGTCCGGTTGTAAAACCAGCAACCATTCATACTATCCTCAGTATTGCGGTCTCTCAGCACTGGCTGATCCATCAGCTAGACGTGAAGAATGCGTTTCTTCACGGTCACCTTCAGGACACTGTATACATGCATCAGCCACCGGGCTTCTGAGATCCATGTTTTTCGGATCACGTATGCCATCTTCAGCGCTCTCTGTACGGCCTTAAACAGGCCCCACGTGCGTGGTACCATCGGTTTGCTTGGCTCGGGTTTCAGCACAGTCGCACTGATACGTCACTGTTTATATACCACTCTCCTCAAGCCACCGTGTATCTTCTTCTATATGTTGACGATATCATTTTGACGGCCTTATCCATAGAGTTCCTTCACCATATCATCACCCTACTTGGTCGTGAGTTCGCTATGACAGATCTCGGGGCACTCAAATTTTTTTGGGAATTTCTGCTACACGATCATCTACAGGTCTATTTATATCTCAGCAGCAGTATGCCTCTCAGATCCTTGAACGCGTAAACATGGTTAACTGTAATCTGGTGTGCACTCCGACCGAAATGGGTCACAAGCTTAACGTTGATGGCCCACCCGTTTGTGACCCCACCCTATACCGCAGCCTTGCCGGAGCTCTTCAGTATCTCACCTTCACACCCTCGGATATAGCATTTGCCGTTCAGCAAATCTGCCTCTATATGCATGATCCTCGAGAGCCACATTTTCATGCTCTCAAATGCATACTTCGATACATTCGAGGCACTCTAAACCATGGCCTTCAGATTCATGTATCCCCCTCATCCGAACTTATAGCTTATGCTGATGCAGATTGGGGGGGGATGTCCGGCATCTCGACGATCCACGTCCGGATACTATGTTTTCTTGGGAGATAATCTTGTGTCTTGGTCATCCAAACATTAAGGTGTTATCTCCCGTTCTAGTGCTGAAGCCAAATATCGTGGAGTCGCGAACACCGTCGCTGAAACAAGTTGAATTTGTAACTTACTTCGCGAGCTCCACCGACCGCCCACGAAAGCCACAATCATCTACTGTGATAATGTCAGTGAGGTATACATGTCGTCCAATCCGGTTCAGCACCAACGCACAAAGCATATAGAGATTGATATTCACTTTGTTCGTGACAAAGTTGCCATTGGTCATCTTCGGGTCTTCCATGTCCCCTCGAGCTCTCAGTACGCAGACATCTTCACGAAAGGGCTATTTCATTCTCGATTTTCGGATTTCAAATCCAGTTTGAACGTTCACAATTCGAACGTTCCAACTGCGGGGGGATGTTAGCAGATCACATTGTATATTAGGCTTAATTTATTAGCACGTATAGTATTTGGCCCATGGCCCATCTGTTGTATATTTAAATGATTGTATTTTGTTTAATCATTCAAGGAAATCATTCTCTCTAATAAACTAAACTTGCATAAAGATATCATTTGTTGACTGTTGACACAATGATTAATGTTTAGTATGGATTCAAACCACATCATTGTCCATTGAGGTGTTCCCCGATAACGGTAGCTCACTATCTCCATTAAAAGTAATATATTTATTGGTGGACCATAAATACATTTATCAAGAATCATTAACCATGAGTACATATGAACCATGAACATTTGTTCACTCATGAACAATCTTTTAAACATGAATTGACAAAAGCATGTTCATAAAAGTTTGTTGATATAACACTTGTATGAATTTAAATATGTGTTCATGAGTGAACAAGTTGAATCTAATATTATTAAAATCTTTTCACAAAATACTTCTTATAAACATTGTTCACTTTTGTTGCCTTGCCTCTGTGTTCAATTAATTAAATTTTTTGTAATGAATGATCTCAAAAAAAATTTAAAGATCAATGAATGAGATGGTTCATGAAGTTAACATTATATTTAGGTTAACAAATGAACTCACCCCTATATATATATATATATATATATATATCGTTTTAAATCTCCATTTTTTCCACTATGCAAGTTTTAGCTTCTCAAGTCAATGGCAAGATTGGATTAATTCACAAGTGGATTACAGGATTGGTTTCAAAAGTAGATAAGAGGATTTCGGCTCCCGGAGAAAGAAATGTTTTGTTATTCCTTTTAAAAGTACCTTCTTGTTCAACACCGCCACCACAACCTGATGATTAAGAACGATGTTTCTACTTCCTCTTACGGAGGTATAAAGAACGAGTTTGTTGAAATTAGCGCTAGCTTCAGGATCGTTTGGTTATGGAAACAAAAGCACCGGTAGGAATTGAGATGTGGGTTGGATCGAGTATCTTCTTCTCAACGCCAAACTCGAATCGGATGACCAAAGATCTCTTTGTGTATGAAGAAAACCCAGAAAATTTCCAGTAATAACTTTGCCAAAAAAGGTCGAATCTCTTTCAATGAATCCAAACGTGATCTACTGATTTAATTTGTAATTTTCTTGTAGGGGGAGTTGTGAATGATTATGTTTTCAGAGTAAATCACCACCACCCACCATACCCAGAGTTCCAAGCAAATGAAAAAAATGGAAGGAAATTGGTGGGTAATGGAGAATAAGCAGACCAACAAATCATGTTTGTTTTATATTTAATAACACAGCTGGGCTTGAAATCTCATTGAGAGATGGAAGTTGGATGTCTTTTTCTATTGATTCTGATTTGTCTTCCCTGTGTTTGATTCCAAGAATATATTTGATCCCTGTGTTTGATTCCTTGGTCTTTTTGTATGGAAAAGATGTAAACACTATGTTTACAGACCCAAGAATATAGCTATCCATGTGTTTATTGTAGAGTCGGTCGCAGTTAAAATATCGTATTACAAAGTGATTTACGATCCCAAAGTGATAATAATAAATCACATTGCACACTGACCCAATACAACAAATGCGGATTAACGAGATCTAGATATTGTATATTACGGTCTAACAATTCATACTAAGCCACAAATGTA